TATCTACTGGTTATTATAGTTACAAAAGAATAGTACATATATAATTTTTGTTAAATCAAATAACGCATATACAAACAGCACATATATACAAATCAAATGAGTTTGTCTAGTGAAGCAAAAAAATGTTTGTGTAAATTGTTACAACAGCAGTGCCTAAATCAAAAGTCAGCCGAATATAATGAAGCAAAAAGACTTTTTATGGGTTTAACAGATCTTGATTATAAACCTGGTCATAAAGAACATACATTTCATAAATACTGGCTTGCATCTAATAGTTATGCTAGCTCTTCTGATAGAAACGATACAGCAGTTTTAGAGGTATACCAACCTGAAGAGATTTATTCTCAATATATAATCCGGGTGGTGGAAAAGGGTTATACAGTGATTGATCATCCTACAGAAGTTTATAGAATACCAAATACACATGAATGTATTGATGGAAATCAGCCTCTTTACTTGGTAATTGATATTGATGCAAGGCAAAAGCCCGACTCTAATAATCCTCAACTTCCTTCTTTAGATAGTGAAAAAATTATCAGAGAAAATTTGATATCTCGAATTTTAGTTACCTGTACGGATATATTAAGTCTTATTCCAGAATGTATGCCTTTCTTAAATTCTTTCGTCTTAGCGAGTTCATCAAATGCTGAGAAATGTAGTTGGTATATTATTTATCCTCGGGCTCAATTCGTGGATTATAGAGAACTTAAGGGTTTTACAGAAAAAGTTACGGAACTAGTTGAGAATCCTTATTCAAAGTTCATTGATGTTGGCCTTCTCAAAATGCATTTCAATCTCCGACTTCTTGGATCAGTAAAGGAAGGACGCATAAAAAGACCTGTCATTTTTTCTGTTAAGAATGGATTTAAAAATCTAGAAGATTATTTGGTTCAACCAAAATCGGATTATTCTGTAATCTGGCCACGAACCTTTTCGGAGGAGAGGCTAGCAGAAGAGGAATACCAACCTATCGATGATGATAATGTCTTGATTAAGGGAGCCAATTTAGTTATTGCAAATTACGGGTGGCTTAAGATTGGAAGAACTGAAAAGAGATTTATCAACTTTGAAACACAATCCGTTAAAGAATGCCCTATATGTGATGTTAAACATGAAAAAGACCAACTCTATGGATTTATTCGAAAAAATGGTCATTTTATACTCAAGTGCTATTGGCAAAAACAGTATAAGCCAGATCACAAGGGTCTTAGCTTTTATAAGGTATCAGATAAAGTCAAATCGAAAGAGAAACCTAAATGGAGATTACTTGAAAGATTACCCAAGGCCATATTAACACCACATTCATTTCCTGAATTATCTGGAGAAAGTATTAATGTAAAAGAAATGGAGGATGCCTTAGATGCTTTTCCAAACTTTTTAAGTGAAGAGTATAGCACCACTCTTATTTAATCTACTGTGGGTACTGGAAAAATGAAAACATTAAGAAAAATTTTCGCATCTTTAGCTCAAAGCGGTGCCAATTTATCTTGTACTATTTGAATATTATATTGTAAAATCCTTAGTAATGAATCTGAAGCTAAACTTAAAGAATTGGAAAAATTCGATTTCAAAATAAGGCAATATCAAAATATTGTAGCCAACCTAAAGACACGTGAGTGAGATCTTATTATTGTACAAATTGAAAGTATTCTTCGTCTTGATTTTTGTGAAGGTCGTTCCTGCATAGCAATTTTAGATGAAGTCAATGCCACCATGTGCCAAATGACTAGTGGGGTTCATGCTCAGGAATCGTCCAATACTATGCGCTATTTGTTAAATGTAGCTACTCATATTGTTGCTATGGATGCTTTTGCAAATGATTCAACTTTAGCTTTCTTAAAATCCTATCGAGGTGAGAATGTTCGAGTTATTGATAACAAATATCAACCACGTAAAGGGGAGATTATTAAACTTCTTTACGATCCAGATAAAGGTTCAGAAGCTATACGCAGAGGGTTTAGGATGCTCCAAGAAGGTAAGCATGTTGCATTTGTCATAACAAGTTGTAAAAAAGCTTGAGCCTTGGCCAATCAAGTATCTAAGTTGAAAAAACTTGATGGTTCATTCATTTTATCACGAGTTTATTTCGGTCAAATGGATGGGAAGCAACGCCAAGATGATTTTGCTAATATTGATGCCACCTGGAGCACTCTTGACTGTGTTGTTTATACAAGCACTGTGGAAGCTGGCATCTCCTTTGAAATATCTGATTATTTTGATGCAGTTATAGGAATTACTAACATTGCCACTTCAGTTCATGTCGAAGCATTTGCTCAGATATTGTTCAGAATCTGTGACTACCTATTTCATATGGTTTCCTTTTATCATAACAAAAAATTTGATATTTTTAAAGAACCATATCAGGAACTCATTCGGGCTGAACTTTCAGTATTAAAACCTGAAAACTTACTAACTGCAATAAAAGGTCTGCGTGAATGGGATAAAATTTCTGATTGTTATGTACTTAATTTATCTTCAGCAGTTGAAACCTATATCGAAGTTGAATATCAGAAATGCTTATTAGCTAAATATTTTTCCGAGATTCTTTGTAGCCTTATTGCTAGTACTGGAGCATCTCTTGAATTAATCCTAATAGAAGATGCTGAAAAAGTTAAAAGAAAGAAGTTTCTCATACTATTAAGAATACTGAGAAAAAAATTAAAGACGAAGATGCAGAATTAATAGCCAATGCCCCAGATATTGGTCCCGATGAAGCTGAGATTCTTAAACAAAACCCTATACGCTCTTTCACTAATAACTTGACTTTACAGTGACATTATTTGTGGAAAATATATGTTTCAGGTGATATTGGAGGTAAGGATGATATTCAGGATTGGGGTATAAATAATGATGATTGGATTAAACTTTGTAATATAGATTTCGTGAAAAAATTCAATAATCCTGAACCTTTACAATATTTTAGAAGACTGGCATATTTCAGAAGACAAGGTTCCAATGCTACAAATTCTATAGAAAATCTAAAAATCAAAGAAGAAATGCAATGGGAAGATTCACACAATTCTATGGACCCTTCTTCAGTTGATTTGCATAAATTTTATTTGGCAAAACAATGGGAGGCAGTGCATAATCTTTTACAATCGATAGGATTCATTGAATTGACGATATAAAGATTCTTTTCTGAGATGATGTGGCTAAGACTTTTGAGCAATCACAGGAAAAAATCATTAAAATTCGAGAAGATGCATTATTACTCTTTGGTTTTAAGACTCGAGCTAAAGGATTGCCCGATCTCAATGTTGCAATAAAATTTATTAATGCAATACTGAGTAATTGGTGCAGTTACACTATCAAGAGTGGACGAAAACTCTCGGGATCAAAAGATCAGTGAGTGTGGAAGCGCACTTATTGGATTCATCGTATATCAGATAATGGAGCTGGTTTTAAAACTCAAGAAGAAATAATAGCTATAAAATTAAATAATCCTAATTATCACCCTACAGGTCCAATTTTTCCTCTATATAAACTCGAATTGATCAATGAAACTCAAGAACTTTTTGATTCAATACCTATTACCACTGATATCGCCATTTCAGAAGAAACAAAACTTCAATCCTCTACATTATCCAGTAATGAGATTTGTGAAAAGAGTTCTTGCGATAATATAACTGAACAATTCTCAAGTATTACTGAAACTAAGATTGAGATACCCAAATCTTTAATTTCTTTATCTTCAGAATATCTTATCAAAAACGAATCTGATATTGATACTCTTATCTTTTATTTACAAGAAAAATTTAATATGTCAAAAGAAAGATTGGAAAAATGGAAAAATGATATTTTCTTTGAATTGCGAGATAATTAGAATTATTGGAAAAAAGAGCGCTCAAGCATGAGTGAAATCGATTTCCTAGAATATAAACGAAATTTTGAGGCTAAAATGAAAGTTCCTACTACTCTGCATAAAAAAGAGTTGAAAAATAAATCTATAGCAATCATTAAATATGCATAAATGATGAAACTAATATTAGCAAAACTAACAATAATATACTCTGGCTAGGAGTATATTACTATATTTATCTAGCTATATATTTTAGATAAGGGGCTTTTTGTCACCTTTTACAATGAGTATGCAGAAAAATTCAAATCAAAAATTAATGCTCGATATACTGTGGGACCAAAAGTTACGTACTTATATGCAAGCGACGATACTCCGATACCTAAATCATATAAAGGGTTTTTATGCCGCACGATTTTGATTAAGATAAATTTCAGGTAAGTATTTCTGATATATAAAGTACGTATTCGGTAACCATTTTTGTGTTGCCTAATTTAGATATCAATAAAAGTGGTACTCCAAGATATTGAAAAAAGTGATATTCCAAAGTTTTCAAATTAGTAATACTTCAAAGTATTAAAAAGTAATATTCCAAAGTTTTCGAATTAGTAATACCCCAGGTTATATTTTCTGATTATAAATAGTGTTCACGTTTCTCGATACATGTTCGATAATGATATCCCAAAGTTTTCAATATAGTGATATCCCAAAGTTTTTGATATAGTAATATCCCAAAGTTTTCGATATAGTGATATCCCAAAGTTTTCGATATAGTGATATTTTAAAATATATAAAAAGTACAATTTAGGTATCAGTATAAGCCAGCTAAATACTGAAAAAAGTGATACTCCAAGGAATAATTATTACAGAAAGATATATATTATAAAATTATGCTTTGGAATATCAGCAGATATGATAACAATTCGACACTACGTGCCTTGGGTTTGATATATTTTTTGTCATCCCAAAATCTTTCAGGTGGGAATAGATGCTTCACTATGTTTCGCATCAGGACCTTCCAGGTGGAACTATTTTGGCATTACGTACCTCAACTCTGGCCCTCATCGAGAAATTAACTAGAAAGCTAGAGCACTATGTGCCCAGTTCGGACATAGCCCTCACATCGGACCACAAATGATGATATATAATTGAATGCATTATCAGATATATTTTTTACCCATGTGGTTAACTTTTGTTATCAGACCACATGCTCACTGCCAACCTGATATATATCAGTTCGAATGCGGCCTAAAAAGCAAAATGCACGTCACTCGAGTGTAGTCTAAAAAGCAAAATGCACGCCACATTGGCATATATCTTAGCAACTCTCAAATGATGATACAAATGTAACCTATATGGCACCCGATGTGTAGACTACTATAGTCTCAGGTGTGCGACCTAAAAAGCAAAATGCATGTCACTCAAGTACAGCCTAAAAAGCAAAATGCACATCATACCTGAGACTATAGTAGTCTAGTTTAAGCCGTTTGGAGTTTATATAAACTCCAAACGGCTTCTGTTATAAAAATATCTTAATATAAAATTACATCCTGTTATATAAATTGTGACTAATTAAAAAAAAAATAAAAATTTTGTGTGTAATCTTTCATTTATCACATAATTTTTCATAATATTATTAATTTTTATACAATTAACAAAATGACAGACAGATATATAAAATATTGATATTATTGTATATAAAATTTTTTATATTGTAATTGAATATTAAAAATAGTATTAAATAATCTCAACAATAAAATTTAATTGAATATTATATTAAAAGAACAGATCTATATAATCAAAATTGAGTGAATTATTATTAGTTTAAATTTTTTATCTATTCAAATTTTAACTACTAATTATTCTCTCAATTTTAATAGCACATATTTCTTCTTTTTATATAATACATGATTCATTATTGTCTTAAATATTATTTAATACCATTTTTTAATATTTATTTATAAACTAAAAAGTTTTATATATATCAACTATCAATGACTATTTTCAATCATATATGTAATTATATTAATAATATAATTGTGTCATAATTGTGACATTGTGTCACAATTGTAACATTGTAAAAAATAGTCGCAACTTATGAAAATAATTATGACAGGTATCTTTAAATAGTAATAATACTTATTATAATTCAAAAAAGCAATGTAATCAATTTTTAACATATAACATAATTAATTAAGACATATAATACAATAGTTGTAACTAGTTATAACTCCTGTAAAATAATTATAACAGATATTTATAATTAATAGAAGAATAAGAGATTAGATCTATTAAAACAATAATTTTATTATTTTTTCAACATTATATATGATACAATTAACAATAATAAAATTATTTCAAAAAGACAAGTGATTTGATATTTTTTTCAATTATGTGATTGGGTGAAATAGGTAATAGTTTCTTTTAATATAAAGTTTAACTTTGAATTCAAATGTTTTGTATAACTTAATTTCATATTTTTTATTTTTATTTTTTTATTTTTTATTTTTATTTTTTGATTATGATCTATTTTAATTATGCAATAATAAATGAAATTTCTATTTGTATACTTCTCATGTTTTATTATCATTACATAACAGAAGAAAGGTGAGAAATAAATAGACTTCAAATGTTTGAAGGTAATAATAAAATATAATTTTTAGTTATTACAAAAAATTACATTTTGCATTTAATTGACTTGTTAATCTTCAGAGATTTAATTATTATAAAAATTATATTTTGACATGATTTAATCTGATAATATTTATTTCAATGTCTATATTTGTAAAATTTTTTTTAACTGTTAAACTCTTAAGAAATCATAACATAAAAGCCTAACCTTGTTTAATCTCCAGAATCACATTAATATTCAAGTAAATAATTTTACAAAATGTGATGTAGAAACACTGAGAGAAAGATTTCAATCTACCATATTATTCCTAATGAGAAAATTGAAGAATTTTCAGAAAAATACATTTGCTCTAAAATAAACAGAGACATTCTTGGACAATGCAGAATTTAAAGTTCAAGAAATAAGTAATTTTTCATTCAAACCTTCTTTAATAAACTACATATTGTTACAAGAAATCCAGAAATACCTGAGTCCTACACTAATGACTAGGTTGATAATTTGTTTTGTATTGTCCGATGTTACAGAATGAAAATATAATGATAATATAATATTAAAAACACCTGCAATAATTAATAATAACCTTTAAAATAATATTTAAAATTTAATTAATAAATATTAGTTCATGTAACAAATAGTAACAATTTAATAATTTCTTTTAGTAAATATTTATAGTCTGTAACATATATTAATTAGTCGCGAAATAGTAGTACAAGATCACGTGTTCACGTAATATTTAGTTACACAAACATAACTATCAATTCATAACATTAATTATTATCACTTAACATTATTTAACAATAATTATT